GCCGCCCTGGGGACCGCTTCCCTTCTCTGGTGCTGTAGCTGTCGTTGGGCATTGCCCGTGTCAGCGACGCTCCCGCGGCCGGAGGAGTCGCTGGTCAGAAGTTACTCCACGTTCGCCAGTTTCCTCAGAGACTTGTGCGGCCGTGGGGACTTAAACCTTTGCTGAGGCGTTTCTAACGTCTTGGAAAGGTGATTTCCAGCGTTGGCGCTGTGAGTACTGTGTTGCTCCCGAGAGGCCTCCCACAGAAGGCCAAAATAAAAAGCTTGTGTCTATGGAGAGGAGTAGAATAATCCGTGTGCAGAGCAGCGTTTGTCCATTCTTGCTCGCTGTGGTTGGGATTCGTTGCTTTGCAGTGTAGCTTTATTCTGCATCTCATAAGTAGGCACGCAGGATTGAGCTGAACTGCATTCAGCGGACTAGAAAACTGAACTGTGAAGTTTTTATTTTTAATCTTCGAATTCTTTGTTCAGCTTCAACTTATCTGAAGTTACATGAAACCTTTAGAGGAGTGTTTTCGTAATCCTTTACTAGTTTGTATTTCCCCTTTCTGAAAGTTAAGAATGGAAATAAGGATGGACAGAGTCTTTTGAATTGTATGTCCGTGTGTACGTAGTGCTTGGCATTACCATCTTACTCTCTTTTTAAATGCTCATATAGCTAGAAAGCATTGGCACTGCTGGAAAGATCAAGAGTAAAACTTCAAAATGGTGATTACAACAAACCTTCTGAAGGAGTGATGCATTTGACTCAGCATCTTAGGTTCCTACTTCTGTAGGAAACTTTTTATATGAAACTTCTAGGCATGGACAAAAGGAATTGAACTAACCTGGTGAGTGATGAGTATGTGGATTCATCATCAGGAAAATGAAGAGGTTTAAGCATTCCTTCTTATTACTACATGATTATGAAGCATTGATTTTGTGCTTTTTCGAATGTATAATGAAAGAATCCTGGTTTTGTTTTTCAGGTTTTTTTTTTTCCCTCCTGACTAGCAATACATTGGGGGGCACTTTTTTTCTGTTTTCAGTGCTTCATTCATGTCAGGCTAGTTCTGTCTTCTGTTCCGATTATTGCCTTTGCTTTCTTTGCTGACAGGTGGCCTCTGAAGCAGGTCTTACAGGATTATTCCAAACATCTTGTGCTGAGGTTAGAAAGTCATCTTCTGGAGCTAGAGTCTGCTCCTTCTCAGTAATACAGAAGCTTCACTCTCCCTCTTACTTTCTCAACCTCTAACATGCTGTCTTATTATGCGCATACAAATACCTTTGTGAGCACTGCAGGCTTCTTCTCTCCCATGTCCTCCTGTTAAAATCTGATTTAAAACTTTACACAGCCTCATGAATTTAGATGAATGCGAGGTGTGCAGTGCCACCTTTTCACCACTTGAAGTCTCTTCTCTACAGTGGGCTACGGATAGGTAGTATGGCGGCTGAAGTGGATAATAAAGTCTGGGTAGCAAGCTTTTTCTACCTTAATGCAAAAAAAATAGCCTCTTGGCAAATGGTTGTGGTAATACTAAAATACTAGTTAATTTATTGTTTAATTTCTATTAAAACCTAAGTATGAATTGCACAAGCCTTAGCCAGATTTGCATTTTTTGTACCACTGTTCCTCCCTACCCTGATTAGTCCTTGCTTGTTTTTTACCATGTTTGTAGGAGAAGTCAGTGATGTACTGTGAAATAAAATCTTTGTTTCTTTCTGCTGAAATTCCAGAATGCCAGGACTAAGCTGTAGATTCTACCAGCATAAATTTCCAGAGGTGGAAGATGTAGTGATGGTCAACGTTCGGTCCATTGCTGAAATGGGAGCCTACGTCAGCCTGCTGGAGTACAACAACATTGAAGGCATGATCCTTCTCAGTGAGCTGTCCAGAAGACGTATTCGTTCCATAAACAAACTCATCCGCATCGGGAGGAATGAATGTGTCGTGGTCATAAGAGTTGACAAAGAGAAAGGTATTCGGGGATATTGTGGGCTATATCAAGGTTGAATTCATAGAGAGAAATGCAGATAAACTAGGTGGCTTAGGTATTCATTGGTTTTGCCAGGGGTTCTTTTTTTTAAGGCACTTAAGCAAAACAGACCATCATCATGCCATCTGATATTTATGATCGTTCTTCCAGTCCTCTGGGTCCTTTAGGAATTGGGTTAATGAAGGTCAATCGCATCAGTAAAGTTTTGCTTAAGTGGGTCCTCACCAGCTCAATGTTTGGTCAACAAACCATAGTGAAGTGGAATTTTCTTTTGGTGTCTATGTAGATTTTCTAAGTCCTAACTGAAGAGGAAGATCATCTGATATAGTGATTAAAAATCTAAATGGTGAACATCTAATGCTTACAGTCCATCTTGTGCATTAACAAGTCTTGAACCTTGGCTGTAAAATAGATGACATGTATGTAATTATTGTACCACATGAATTCTGTAGAAGGTTACAAGTTGAGATTGTACAGGCAACTCTGTCTTTTCCTGTGTTCTGAACGTTTGAATCCTTTATTCTAAAGGGTTTTTTAATATATTTTCTATTTAGCACATGCTGGATTTTGATAATACAGTTCCATGCAATCTTTATATCCAGGTATAAAGAAATAACGAAAATAAACACTGAGCACATCTCCTAGAAACCTGACTGTTGGTATGATGTTTCTCAAGTAATACGCTTTTCTAGAATACTTCTGAAACTGCAGTTAACTCTGAGATTAAGTAATGAATGACAGGATAAGAAAAAGCAGAGAGGAAAGACTGACAAGAAGAAACTTATTTCAGATAGATCTGAAGTGAAATTAGTTTTCCAGCATCTCTAATGAAAGGATACTTCCTCTTAGAAATTCATTTCACTCTCATATTAACAGAGAAACACATCTGGAATTCATATAGTGGTCTTTTATTGAATCTTTTGGGGAACCTATAGTTTGTGAGAAATAGGTGGAGGCCTTTTCAAATTGGTTTCAAAATGGTTCAAAAGAGTTTTTTTCACAGACAGTTCTCCCAAAAGGGTATCCAAGGAGTTAGAGTCAGAATTTGAGGCCAGGCCTACTTTATGAGGAAACCGTTCAGAGCTAAACTGATGGAGTGCCAACCTTGAATGAAATTGAGTTGAGCACTACAAAAATATGCATCAAACTTGCTTCTTTGTATGCTGGTATGATTTTTGCCAAAACTCTGTACAGCGACAGAAAAAATGGATCACTGACCGCTGAAATACGAAAATTTCTTCCAGGGTTGCAGAGAAAACATTCTTAGGTCAGTAATTTTAAAGAATGTTGTAAAAAAGATTTGCTATTTTAAGTATTTACAGTTGAAAGAATAATTTAATACCCTATTTGGATCATGATTTGATCAAATTTGTTAAGGTTTGGTTTTGTTACTTCCTGTAACAGATAGAGACAGTGTAGGCAAGGGGCAAATCCTGAGACAGCGTTTGTTCTTTATGCTTTTCTTCTGAAGCACTTAGACGTAGTTTGCACAATGCCTGACACTTTCAAAATGGTTTTCCCCAACAGGTTATATTGACTTGTCAAAAAGAAGAGTTTCTCCAGAGGAGGCAATCAAATGTGAAGACAAATTCACAAAATCGAAGACTGTAAGTTGCTTTGTTAGATTCAGGCACTGTGTGTTGCCAGCTTCTTTCCTGAGCAACCAAAATGCACAGACAAGATAATAGGAGAATATTGTTCTCATTTATTAAGCATACCCTGATTCTCATTTACCCATGCAAATATATATAATCGACTCCTCTGTCCATGAGTGCTCTGGTAAGCTGCTGCTTAATTTATGAGTAGATCAAGTAGTATGTCAGCTGAAAATCTGTGATGTAAAGGGGGAAGTTTTTTAATTATTAGAAATCCAAAAGCATATGCTGGTTTAGCACTCTGTGGACAAATTTTATTGAAAAGGCATGCAAGTATTTTAAAGCATCAACTCCCACCCTTGCTACTGTGTGGTCTTATGCTTCTGAGTAGAACACTTACCATTAAATATTACTTAGATTCTAACTTTTTTCTTTGTATGCAAATATACTGTTCAACAACTTGATAATACTTTTTGCATCAGTTTCCATGAGAGAATAATTTTATCTTTATAACTACACAGTAAAGGTTTAGGTTAATAAAGTGGTTTTGATATTTTGTAAGTTCCTACAACTCAGTATGTAATTTATTGCTAAATATAGGGAAGGCTTGTATTGCAACATCATGCAGTGTTTAGAATCAAGACACTTTATCATTGATATTTTTCATTGTTTATTTGCATCAACAATTTTGGTTGTGGACTTTGATCTGCAGGACTCAATTCTATGCTGTACAAACCCATAGTAGGAGTCAGGCATTACATGAGTGTGAGACTGGATAAGTGTGTTTGGGGTTGTTTTGGTTTGGTTTTTTTAATACCCCTTTTGTGTTCAAGGTTTACAGCATCCTTCGTCATGTTGCTGAAGTCTTGGAGTACACTAAGGATGAGCAGCTTGAGAGTCTGTTCCAGAGAACGGCCTGGGTATTTGATGACAAGTACAAAAGACCAGGATATGGTGCTTATGATGCATTCAAGCATGCAGTCTCGTAAGGACACCTTTTCTACTTCTAGGGGTTTATTTCATAATTACGGAGAAGTATTTCCTGGAATAGATCCATCATAATGTTCTTTTTGAGGCTTTGGGGTTTGTTTGGTTTTTTCTCCCCCAGTGTCAGTATGTAGAATGTGCTGGTCAAGTAAACCTAGTAAATTTTTACATCAGTCTTCCAGTTGCTTATTGGAGGTTTCTCTGTCTTCAGAGAACTCTCTTCAAGTTCCCAATGCTTTTGAGAAAGAAGGCTCAGAGTTGACTTGTTTTTATCCATCTTTGAGTGTGCCGCTGTGTGTATGTCAGTTTTTTAAAAGTGGTAATTGAATTTGATGTGGAGAAATGCTGAGGCAGTTGGTGAATAATATGTTATGAGAGAAACATGCAATTACAAACACTGGAGAGATTTTTATTGCCACAGATGAGCCTGTGACATTTCTAACAGAAGAAGCAGCACTGATCTTGGTTTGTCTGTCAGAATTTACCTGTTCTTAGTCCCAAGCAGATGTTACCAAACTTATCTAGCCCTGTGTCTGAAGATACTTCTACTCACAGCTGACTGTTGCTCTTCCACTGCACAGGCAGAATTTTTCTTTTTTAAATGCAACAAGCTGGCTTGTTACTTCTCTACACTTCCAAACTTAAATAATGGGAATGGGATCATGAACTTAGAAATGGAATTATCAACAGAAAGAATTGGAAATTGTGATGCTAGGGGAGTATGCACTGAGATAGATTGCTCTTAATGTTTTTATGAAGTCTGGTATTTGAATTTGCTTTCAGAATTAACCTATTTGGCTCCCCTCTAAAGATTCTATCATGAAATTGGCAATCCAAAAATAGATTTCTCAATAAACATTTCCAATTTTACTCTTTTATGGCACATAAACCTATGAGTGATGAACTTGAGTTGAACACTAGATGGCAGTAACAAAATTCTAGAAATTGTGTTGACTTAAAGAAGCAGGGCACTCGGTAGCATTTTGGTTAACTTAAAACCATGTTTGTGTTTTTGGGGAAGAGACAACTTGTATCCTCATTTGAACTGAATGTGTTCTGTTTCATAGAATAATAATTATTTTCTAATGATAGTAAATTTACTGGTAAAGGGCAAATCTGAGCACGTTGCTGCAGAAGGAATTCCAGATCATTCTGTAACTGATAAATACTTGAACACATGTATACTAGAAGAACGAAAAACTGTAGTTACATTGGCTGTTTAAGTTTCTCTTAAACTCAGAAAACTTCCTGAACACACATGCCATTTGTTGCTCATCTGCTATTCAGGTTGAAGCACAAACTTCTGAAGCTGTCCATTCTCAAAACGTTTTCATCAGTGATGCCTTAAGATTTCTGACAATGGACTGCAACTTTTATTTGCTCAAGTTGTGCTCCTACATAAAGCTATAGTGGTTGAGCAGAAAAATGTGGATATTGCTGCCTTCCTATGCTTGCTGAAGTGCTTTCTGGAGGCTTAGCAGAATTTGACTTGCTATTTCCTTCTTAGTACTGAGGATTAGTGTTTTGGGGTTTCACACAGCAGGATACCAGTGGCAAAATTTCAAAGTATATTTACCCTCTGATCAGTAAAACTTAAAACATCCAGGACCTATTTGTTGAATGCCTACCAAATGCTCATGAAAGTAACTTGAAGATTTAACAGAACAGATTGTAAACGAAGAAACGGAATTTGCACGTCCAATAAATCACTTCTGCCGTATGGGTTCTTATTTTTGATG